ACAGTAATAATTGTTACAAGCAAGAATCATTGATGGATGCTAAAATTAGTGGGAAAAAGTATGATGAGAAACAGAATATTTACATAGTCATAAAGCATCTCTCCACAGGATGTTTATTAACTACAAAGGAAAATAGTAACTACAGTGGAGAAACCTCAGGGAGACACCACTTTAACTGAGAGATCCAAGTTACCATGACCAGTAATTAGACACATCAACAACACCTGATACGGTGTCCCCGGGAGGGCACGACATCTCTTCTGCGGTACTCTTGCCAAAAATGCATAACCTGAATCTGGTAATGAAAACACATCAGACAAACCCAAAGTGAGGAATATCCTACAAAACAACTGGCCAAAGCATCACAGTGACAAGGAAACACTGAGGAACTGTCCCAGATTGGACACGAACGAGACATGACAACTAAATGCCACATGGGATTCTGAATGGGATCCGGGAGTAGAAACAGGACGTTAGTGGGACATTGGGCAAAATTGAAATAGGTCTGTAGATGAGCTAATAGTATTATATCATTGTTAATTTCCTGACTGATCCTTATACTGTGGTTATATGAGAACTTAATATTGGGGGAGTATGAGTGAAGGTTGCTCTATTGGTAACTTTTTTCTAAGTGTAAATTTTCAAAACAAAAAGACTGGGTGCTGGTAGACAGTGTCAGGAGGAGACAGTCCACAGGATGACAAATAACTTTCAGCTCAAGTTTTGACATGACCAGTTGTCAGGCCTGCCAGGAATGTTAAGAATTCTGAGGCTTAGAGGAAGACTAGCACAGATGTTAGCCCAGGGCCAGTCTTCCTCAGCAAAAAGGGGAGGATTGGCATGGATGTTAGCTCAGAGCCGATCTTCCTCACAAAAAAAAAAAAAAAAAGAATTCTGAGGCTTCATCCAACCCCCCCCCAAGTGCTGAGGCTGGTTGGAGATGTCTGTGGGGAGGAGAAGGGAGGGTGGAATGGGAGGAAAGCAGAGTGCGTGAACTTCATGGTAGGTACAGGACTGTTACATTTGTTTCTGACACCCTTTTGTAGGTTTGAAATGTCTTTAAATAAAAATTTTAAAGTAATATATATGCAACAAAATTCTCACAGCACCAAAGTACAGTGAAAAGTCAGGCCTCTTTGTACTCCCGGTTCCGCCCCTCCCCACCCCAGGTAATCACAGTTACCAGGATTCATGCGAATTAGGTATAAACACGCAGGTCTGTGTATTTATTGCTCATTAAGGTTGAGGGCTCTGTGTTAGGTCAGAGGAAGTCAAGGGGAGTGGTGGAGACTGAAAGCCAGGAGGCCTCTGCCAACAGGTGAAGGAGGCCCTTTCCTGCTGCTGTGCTTTGTATTGAAAAAATAGACAAGACAGGTATGTCTGTCTGGATACCCTGAAACACATTTTTCATCGTATAGGTTGCAACCTATTAGTAGACCACAAAATCAGTTTAGTATTTTATGATCATCATTTTAAAAAAATAGAAACGGCGGGCCAGTTGGGTGGCGAAGCAGATAAGTGCACGCACTCCACTTTGGCGGCCGGGGCTCACGGGTTCGGATCCCAGGCGTGCAGGGACGCACTGCTTGTCAGGCCGTGCTGTGACGGCGTCCCATATAAAGTAGAGGAGATGGGCACAGATGTTAGCCCAGGGCCAGTCTTCCTCAGCAAAAAAGAGGAGTATTGGCATGGATGTTAGCTCAGGGCTGATCTTCCTCACAAAAAAATAAATATATAAAATTAAAAAATAAAAAAATAGAAACAGAATAGACAATACCAAGAGTCCATCAGGTGAAATAGGGGTAGATAGTTTTGTGAAACTTTGTTGTGATGTAAAATGTATTTCTTATTGAGGGTTGAGGTTTAAAAAAAGGTTTGAAACACTGCCTTAAGCCACAACTTTCCTAAGGCTGGAACCTGGATCACGGAGACACTTTACCCCAGGCTGCAGGTGACCAGGCATGTCACCTTCCTGGGTGCCACCAGGCAATATCCGAGGCCAGACTTCCCTGAAACTCTGTGTGAGGACTGGCTGGTTAATGGGTAACCAGGAGCAACAACCACTCAGCAGGGAGCGCTTGCCCCATGGGGACCCTGCCACACCACACTGTAGGGTTCCCAGAGACAGCAGGTGCGGGACAAACCTGGGTCCTCAGGCTGCAGCGGGGATAGCCCTGCCCGAGAGCAGAGCGAGGTCAGCCCTCATGGAGGGCGCTGGTGAGGAGGGCTCTCCTGCCAGGTGACAAACCCTGGGGTAACTGAGCAGGGCTGGATGGCTCCCCAGGGGGGAGTCCCGCAGGCCCGAGTCCCCACTCACCCCAGCACATGCTCTCCCAGACAGACTGCCTCCCTAACAGCGAAGCCTGAGCACCCTCTGGAATGCGGCAGCAGACCTGCTGTAAGGGGACAGATGGGAAACGTTTTAGGCTTCGCGGGCCATACAGCCTCTCACCACGGCTCCACTCCGTCGTCCTGCAAAGCAGCAGTGAACATAGGCAACGAACGAGCTTGCTGCTCCAATGAGACTTTTCACGGACACTGAACTTTGAATTTTATATAATTTCCATTTATTACAAAATATTCATCTTTTGGTATTCTTCAACCATCAAAAAATGTAAAAACCATTGTTAGTTCCTGGGGTGAACAAAATCAAGACGTGCCAGATTTGGCCTGCAGGCCGCGAACCCTGCT